CGGGGTGACGCGGCAACGCCGGCAGCCAATCGGAGGAGCGGCTCGCGCCTGAAGGGGGCGGGGCATCAGCGCGTGACGTCACCGTGGTGACGTCACGCGCTGATGGGGTCGCTGATGGGGTCGCCCTGGTGACGAGAGGCGCTCAGACAATCGCCCATCAACAACTACCACCACAACAACAACCACAACAACAACCACAACAACAACCACAACAACTACCACAACAACCACCACAACAACCACCACAACAACCACCACAACAACTACCACAACAACTACCACCACAACCACCACAACAACTACCACAACAACCACCACAACAACTACCACAACAACCACAACAACTACCACAACAACAACCACAACAACAACTACCACAACAACTACCAGAACCACAACTACCACAACAACTACCACAACAACAACCACCACAACTACCACAACAACAACAACCACCACAACTACCACAACCACCACCACAACCACCACAACTACCACAACAACCACAACCACCACAACAACTACCACAACCACAACAACTACAACTTGTACATCACTGCTGCTGCTACTGCCCTGTGAGTATCACAACAACCACAACAACAACTCGTGTAGTGGTGGTTGTTGTTGTTGTAAGAGGTAGACATTCAGCAACATCTGTGTTGTGGTGACGTCATGGTGTATGGTGACGTCATGGTGTGTGGTGACGTCACCGCCACTTAGTGGAGTCTATGGTGCAGTGTTGAGTCTATGGTGCAGTGTTGAGTCTATGGTGCAGTGTTGAGTCTATGGTGCAGTGTTGAGTCTATGGTGCAGTGTTGAGTCTATGGTGCAGTGTTGAGTCTATGGGCAGTGTGAGTCTATGGGCAGTGTTGAGTCTATGGTGCAGTGTTGAGTCTATGGTGCAGTGTTGAGTCTATGGTGCAGTGTTGAGTCTATGGTGGCAGTGTTGAGGTCTATGGTTGCAGTGTTGAGTCTATGGGCAGTGTTGAGTCTATGGTGCAGTGTTGAGTCTATGGTGCAGTGTTGAGTCTATGGTGCAGTGCTTGAGTCTATGGGCAGTGTTGAGGTCTATGGTGCAGTGTTGAGTCCTGGGCAGTTGGCAGTGGTTGAGTCTATGGTGCAGTGTTGAGTCTATGGTGCAGTGTTGAGTCTATGGTGCAGTGCTGAGTCTATGGGCAGTGTTGAGTCTATGGGCAGTGTTGAGTCTATGGGCAGTGTTGAGTCTATGGTGCAGTGTTGAGTCTATGGTGCAGTGTTGAGTCTATGGTGCAGTGTTGAGTCTATGGTGCAGTGTTGAGTCTATGGTGCAGTGTTGAGTCTATGGTGCAGTGTTGAGTCTATGGTGCAGTGTGGAGTCTATGGTGCAGTGTTGAGTCTATGGTGCAGTGTTGAGTCTATGGTGCAGTGTTGAGTCTATGGTGCAGTGTTGAGTCTATGGTGCAGTGTTGAGTCTATGGTGCAGTGTTGAGTCTATGGTGCAGTGTTGAGTCTATGGTGCAGTGTTGAGTCTATGGTGCAGTGTTGAGTCTATGGGCAGTGTTGAGTCTATGGTGCAGTGTTGAGTCTATGGTGCAGTGTTGAGTCTATGGTGCAGTGTTGAGTCTATGGTGCAGTGTTGAGTCTATGGGCAGTGTTGAGTCTATGGGCAGTGTTGAGTCTATGGTGCAGTGTTGAGTCTATGGTGCAGTGTTGAGTCTATGGTGCAGTGTTGAGTCTATGGTGCAGTGTTGAGTCTATGGTGCAGTGTTGAGTCTATGGGCAGTGTTGAGTCTATGGGCAGTGTTGAGTCTATGGTGCAGTGTTGAGTCTATGGGCAGTGTTGAGTCTATGGTGCAGTGTTGAGTCTATGGTGCAGTGTTGAGTCTATGGTGCAGTGTTGAGTCTATGGGCAGTGTTGAGTCTATGGCAGTGTTGAGTCTATGGTGCAGTGTTGAGTCTATGGTGCAGTGTTGAGTCTATGGTGCAGTGTTGAGTCTATGGGCAGTGTTGAGTCTATGGACAGTGTTGAGTCTATGGGCAGTGTTGAGTCTATGGGCAGTGTTGAGTCTATGGTGCAGTGTTGAGTCTATGGTGCAGTGCTGAGTCTATGGTGCAGTGCTGAGTCTATGGCAGTGTTGAGTCTATGGTGCAGTGTTGAGTCTATGGTGCAGTGTTGAGTCTATGGCAGTGTTGAGTCTATGGTGCAGTGTTGAGTCTATGGTGCAGTGTTGAGTCTATGGGCAGTGTTGAGTCTATGGGCAGTGTTGAGTCTATGGTGCAGTGTTGAGTCTATGGCAGTGTTGAGTCTATGGCAGTGTTGAGTCTATGGTGCAGTGTTGAGTCTATGGTGCAGTGTTGAGTCTATGGCAGTGTTGAGTCTATGGCAGTGTTGAGTCTATGGTGCAGTGTTGAGTCTATGGGCAGTGTTGAGTCTATGGTGCAGTGTTGAGTCTATGGTGCAGTGTTGAGTCTATGGTGCAGTGCTGAGTCTATGGTGCAGTGTTGAGTCTATGGGCAGTGTTGAGTCTATGGTGCAGTGTTGAGTCTATGGGGCAGTGTGAGTCTATGGTGCAGTGTTGAGTCTATGGTGCAGTGTTGAGTCTATGGTGCAGTGTTGAGTCTATGGGGCAGTGTTGAGTCTATGGTGCAGTGTTGAGTCTATGGTGCAGTGTTGAGTCTATGGGGCAGTGTTGAGTCTATGGTGCAGTGTGAGTCTATGGTGCAGTGCTGAGTCTATGGTGCAGTGTTGAGTCTATGGGGCAGTGTTGAGTCTATGGTGCAGTGTTGAGTCTATGGGGCAGTGTTGAGTCTATGGGGCAGTGTTGAGTCTATGGTGCAGTGTTGAGTCTATGGGGCAGTGTTGAGTCTATGGTGCAGTGTTGAGTCTATAGTGGTGGTGATGATGATGGTGGCGGTGGTCGTGGTGTGTGCAGGTTGCAGGATGGCCTTGAGCGAGGGCAGCGGTGACGCACTGAGCTCCCGTCACCACTCTGTATCCAGCACCAGCGGTGACGCACTGAGCTCCTGTCACCACTCTGTATCCAGCACCAGCGGTGACGCACTGAGCTCCCGTCACCACTCTGTATCCAGCACCAGTGGTGACGCACTGAGCTCCTGTCACCACTCTGTATCCAGCACCAGCGGTGACGCACTGAGCTCCTGTCACCACTCTGTATCCAGCACCAGCGGTGACGCACTGAGCTCCTGTCACCACTCTGTATCCAGCACCAGTGGTGACGCACTGAGCTCCCGTCACCGCTCTGTATCCAGCACCAGCGGTGACGCACTGAGCTCCTGTCACCACTCTGTATCCAGCACCACCGGTGACGCACTGAGCTCCTGTCACCACTCTGTATCCAGCACCAGCGGTGACGCACTGAGCTCCTGTCACCGCTCTGTATCCAGCACCAGCGGTGACGCACTGAGCTCCTGTCACCGCTCTGTATCCAGCACCAGCGGTGACGCACTGAGCTCCCGTCACCACTCTGTATCCAGCACCAGCGGTGACGCACTGAGCTCCCGTCACCACTCTGTATCCAGCACCAGCGGTGACGCACTGAGCTCCTGTCACCGCTCTGTATCCAGCACCAGCGGTGACGCACTGAGCTCCTGTCACCGCTCTGTATCCAGCACCAGCGGTGACGCACTGAGCTCCTGTCACCACTCTGTATCCAGCACCAGCGGTGACGCACTGAGCTCCTGTCACCGCTCTGTATCCAGCACCAGCGGTGACGCACTGAGCTCCTGTCACCGCTCTGTATCCAGCACCAGCGGTGACGCACTGAGCTCCTGTCACCACTCTGTATCCAGCACCAGCGGTGACGCACTGAGCTCCTGTCACCGCTCTGTATCCAGCACCAGCGGTGACGCACTGAGCTCCTGTCACCACTCTGCATCCAGCACCAGCGGTGACGCACTGAGCTCCCGTCACCACTCTGTATCCAGCACCAGTGGTGACGCACTGAGCTCCTGTCACCACTCTGTATCCAGCACCAGTGGTGACGCACTGAGCTCCTGTCACCGCTCTGTATCCAGCACCAGCGGTGACGCACTGAGCTCCTGTCACCACTCTGTATCCAGCACCAGTGGTGACGCACTGAGCTCCTGTCACCACTCTGTATCCAGCACCAGCGGTGACGCACTGAGCTCCTGTCACCGCTCTGTATCCAGCACCAGCGGTGACGCACTGAGCCCCTGTCACCACTCTGTATCCAGCACCAGCGGTGACGCACTGAGCTCCTGTCACCGCTCTGTATCCAGCACCAGCGGTGACGCACTGAGCCCCTGTCACCACTCTGTATCCAGCACCAGCGGTGACGCACTGAGCTCCTGTCACCGCTCTGTATCCAGCACCAGCGGTGACGCACTGAGCCCCTGTCACCACTCTGTATCCAGCACCAGCGGTGACGCACTGAGCTCCTGTCACCACTCTACATCCAGCACCAGCGACGACGTCAGAGCCGTGGACATCTGCGTGTGCATCTTGAGCGCCTTGAGCGACTTTGTCCGCGTGGAGTTTGGCCGCGTGGACGGCGCCGGCTTCAGTGACGTCACCAGCACCGGCGCCATCCACAGGATGGGCGACGACGATGACGGTGGTGGTGATGGTGGTGGTGGTGATGGTGGTGGTGATGGTGGTGGTGATGGTGGTGGTGATGGTGGTGGTGATGGTGGTGGTGATGGTGGTGGTGATGGTGATGGTGCTGCTGGTGGTGATGGTGGTGATGGTGGTGATGGTGCTGCTGGTGGTGATGGTGGTGGTGATGGTGGTGGTGATGGTGGTGGTGATGGTGGTGGTGATGGTGATGGTGCTGCTGGTGGTGATGGTGGTGATGGTGGTGATGGTGGTGGTGGTGATGGTGGTGGTGGTGGTGGTGATGGTGGTGGTGGTGATGGTGGTGATGGTGGTGGTGATGGTGGTGATGGTGGTGGTGATGGTGGTGATGGTGGTGGTGGTGATGGTGGTGGTGGTGGTGATGGTGGTGATGGTGGTGGTGGTGGTGGTGATGGTGGTGGTGGTGATGGTGGTGGTGATGGTGGTGATGGTGGTGGTGGTGATGGTGATGGTGGTGGTGGTGGTGATGGTGGTGGTGGTGATGGTGGTGATGGTGGTGGTGGTGATGGTGGTGGTGGTGCTGGTGGTGATGGTAGTGGTGATGATGGTGGTGATGGTGCCACTGGTGGTGGTGATGGTGTCACTGGTGGTGGTGGTGATTTTGGTGGTAGTGGTGGTGGTGGTGATGGTGTTGATGGTGGTGGTGGTGATGGTGGTGGTGGTGATGGTGGTGATGGTGGTGGTGGTGATGGTGGTGGTGGTGCTGGTGGTGATGGTAGTGGTGATGATGGTGGTGATGGTGCCACTGGTGGTGGTGATGGTGTCACTGGTGGTGGTGGTGATTTTGGTGGTAGTGGTGGTGGTGGTGATGGTGCTGCTGGTGGTGGTGGTGGTTTTGGTTGGGATTTTGGTTGGGATTTTGGTGGTAGTGATGGTGGTGATGGTGCTGCTGGTGGTGGTGCTGCTGGTGGTGGTGATTTTGGTTGGGATTTTGGTTGGGATTTTGGTGGTAGTGGTGGTGCTGGTGGTGATGGTAGTGGTGGTGATGGTGGTGATGGTGATGGGGCTGCTGGTGGTGGTGATGGTGGTGGTGATGGTGGTGGTGGTGATGGTGGTGGTGATGGTGCTGCTGGTGGTGGTGGTGATGGTGGTGGTGGTGATGCTGGTGGTGGTGATGGTGGTGATGGTGCTGCTGGTGGTGGTGCTGCTGGTGGTGGTGATGCTGGTGGTGGTGATGGTGGTGATGGTGCTGCTGGTGGTGGTGATGGTGGTGGTGGTGGTGGTGCTGGTGGTGGTGGTGATGGTGCTGCTGGTGGTGGTGGTGATGGTGCTGCTGGTGGGAAAATCGAGGAGGAGGAGGAGGAAGAGGTGAGGGTCAGGACGCACGCACTCACACACGCGTGTGTGTGTGTGCGTGTGTGTGTGTGTGTAGGTGTGTTTGTGTGATTGTATGTGTGGGTGTCTGTGTGTGAGTGAGTGTGTAGATGTTTGTGTGTGTAAGTGTGTATGGGTCTCGGAGTCTCTGGGTCTCTGTGTGAGTCTGTGGGTGAGTCTCTGTGTGAGTCTGTGGGTGAGTCTATGGGTCTCTGTGTGAGTCTGTGTGAGTCTCTGTGTGAGTCTGTGTGAGTCTCTGTGAGTCTCTGTGTGAGTCTCTGTGTGAGTCTCTGTGTGAGTCTCTGTGTCTCTGTGTGAGTCTGTGTGAGTCTCTGTGTGAGTCTGTGTGAGTCTGTGTGAGTCTCTGTGTGAGTCTCTGTGTGAGTCTCTGTGTGAGTCTGTGTGAGTCTGTGTGTGAGTCTGTGTGAGTCTGTGGGTGAGTCTCTGGGTCTCTGTGTGAGTCTCTGTGAGTCTCTGTGTGAGTCTGTGGGTGAGTCTCTGTGTGAGTCTGTGGGTGAGTCTGTGGGTCTCTGTGTGAGTCTGTGTGAGTCTCTGTGTGAGTCTCTGTGTCTCTGTGTGAGTCTGTGTGAGTCTCTGTGTGAGTCTGTGTGAGTCTGTGTGAGTCTGTGTGAGTCTCTGTGTGAGTCTCTGTGTGAGTCTCTGTGTGAGTCTGTGTGAGTCTGTGTGTGAGTCTGTGTGAGTCTGTGGGTGAGTCTATGAGTCTCTGTGTGAGTCTATGGGTGTCTGAGTGAGTCTCTGTGTGAGTCTCTGTGTGAGTCTGTGTGAGTCTCTGTGTGAGTCTGTGTGAGTCTGTGCGAGTCTCTGTGTGAGTCTCTGTGAGTCTGTGTGAGTCTCTGTGTGAGTCTCTGTGAGTCTGTGGGTGAGTCTCTGTGTGAGTCTCTGTGTGAGTCTGTGTGAGTCTCTGTGTGAGTCTCTGTGTGAGTCTCTGTGTGAGTCTCTGTGTCTCTGTGTGAGTCTGTGTGAGTCTGTGTGAGTCTCTGTGTGAGTCTCTGTGAGTCTGTGGGTGAGTCTGTGGGCTCCTCAGCAGGCGAGGGAGACTACATCTTGTAGTTGCTGTCTCATCGTCACGTCTCCTCTGCCCCCTTCCCAGGTGCTGCCTGACAACCGCAGCCTTCGTGAGTAGCACCGTCACGCCCCACAATCTACACTACACTATACACTACACTACTACACTATACACTACACTACTACACTATACACTACACTACTACACTATACACTACACTACTACACTATACACTACTACACTATACACTACACTACTACACTATACACTACTACACTATACACTACACTACTACACTATACACTACTACACTATACACTACACTACACTATACACTACACTATACACTACACTACTACACTATACACTACACTACTACACTATACACTACACTATACACTACACTACTACACTATACACTACTACACTATACACTACACTACTACACTATACACTACTACACTATACACTACACTACTACACTATACACTACTACACTATACACTACACTACACTATACACTACACTATACACTACACTACTACACTATACACTACACTACTACACTATACACTACACTACACTACTACACTACTACACTATACACTACACTATACACTACACTATACACTACACTACTACACTACTACACTACACACTACACTATACACTACACTACACACTACACTATACACTACTATATACACTACTATATACACTACTATATACACTACACACTACACTAATACACTATACACTACACTATACACTACTACACTACACACTACACTACTACACTATACACTACACTATACACTACACTATACACTACACACTACACTACACTATACACTATACTACTATACACTACACTATACACTATACTACACACTACACTACACTATACACCACTACTATACACTACACTATACACTACACTATACACTACACTATACACTACACTATACACTACTACACTATACTACTATACTATACACTACACTATACAACTACACTACTACACTACACTACACTATACACTACACTATACACTACACTATACACTACGACACTACACACTACACTTACACACTACACTACACACTACACTACCCTATACACTACACACTACACTATAACTACACACTACTACACTATACACTACTACACTATACGACCTATACACTACACTACACTACACTACTACACCTACACTACACACTTGCAACTACACTATACACTACACACTACACTACACTATACACTATACACTACTACACTACACACTACACTATACACTACACTACTATACACTACACTATACACTACACTACACACTACACTATACACTACTATATACACTACACACTACACTATACACTACTATACACTACACTATACACTACACTACACACTACACTATACACTACTATACACTACACTATACACTACACTACACACTACACTACTACACTACACTATACACTATACACTACACACTACACTATACACTACACTACACACTACACTATACACTACACTACACACTACACTATACACTACACTATACACTACACTACACACTACACTATACACTACACTACACACTACACACTACACTACACACTACACTACACACTACACTACACACTACACTATACACTACACACTACACTACACTATACACTACACACACTACTACACACTACACACTACACTACACTATACCTACACTACACACTACACTACACTATACACTACATTATACACTACACTATACACTACACACTACACTATACACTACTATACACTATACACACTACACTACACTACACACTACACTACTATACTACACTACTACACTATACACTACTACATACACTACACTACTATATACACTACACTACATACACTATACACTACACTACACACACACTATACACTATACACTACACACTACCTACACATACATACTATATACACTACACACTACACACTACACTATACACTACACTACTACACTATACACTACACTATACACTACACACTATACACTACTACACTATACACTACACTATACACTACACACTATACACTACTACACACTACAATATACACGACACTATACACTACACTACACACTACACTACACTACACACTACACTATACACTACTATACACTACTATATACACTACACTATACACTACTATACACTACTATATACACTATACACTACTATATACACTACACTACACTATACACACTACACTATACACACTACACTATACACTATACACTACACACTACACTACACTATACACTACACACCGTCTAACTGGTGGTGTTGCCCCAGCCCCCCCCCCCTTGTCGCGTGAAGACTTCTGGTGGTTCGCGCGGCGGCAGCGTCGCGTGTGGTCGCTGCTGCGTCGCTTCCTGCCGACGGTGCGGCTACCGCCTCGTGCCGGCGGTGGTCACCACCACCACCACACCAGCAGCTACGAGGTGACACCGCCTGTGTCTGTGTGTGCCTGTGTGTGTGTCTGTGTGTGTGTGTTCCTGCCGACGGTGCGGCTACCGCCTCGTGCCGGCGGTGGTCACCACCACCACCACACCAGCAGCTACGAGGTGGACACCGCATCGCCCTGCGTGTGTGTGTGTGTGCGTGTGTGTGTGTCTGTGTGTACGTGTGGTGTGTACGTGTGTGTGTGTGTCTGTGTGTGTGTGTACGTGTGTGTGTGTGTCTGTATGTGTGTGTACGTGTGTGTGTGTGTCTGTGTGTCTGTGAGTGTCTGTGTGTGTGTGTGTCTGTGTGTGTCTGTGTGTGTGTGTCTGTCCTGTGTGTACGTGTGTCTGTGTGTGTGTGTCTATGTGTGTGTGTGTGTCTTTGTGTCTGTGTGTGTGTACGTGTGTGTGTGTGTCTGTGTGTGTCTGTGTGTGTGTGCGTCTGTGTGTGTTTGTATGTGTGTGTGTGTCTGTGTGTGTGTCTGTGTGTGTGTGTCTGTGTCTGTGTGTCTGTGTGTGTGTGTGTGTCTGTGTGTGTGTGTCTGTGTGTGTGTCTGTGTGTGTGTGTCTGTGTCTGTGTGTCTGTGTGTGTCTGTGTGTGTCTGTGTGTGTGTGTCTGTGTGTGTCTGTGTGTGTGTGTCGTGTGTCTGTGTGGTGTGTGTGTCTGTGTGTGTGTGCTGTGTGTGTGTCTGTGTGTGGTGTCTGTGTCTGTGTGTCTGTGTGTGTGAGTGTCTGTGTGTGTGTGTCTGTGTCTGTGTGTCTGTGTGTGTGTGTGTGTCTGTGTGTGTGTGTCTGTGTGTGTGTCTGTGTGTGTGTGTCTGTGTCTGTGTGTCTGTGTGTGTCTGTGTGTGTCTGTGTGTGTGTGTCTGTGTGTGTGTCTGTGTGTGTGTGTCTGTGTGTCTGTGTGTGTGTGTGTGTCTGTGTGTGTGTGTCTGTGTGTGTGTCTGTGTGTGTGTGTCTGTGTCTGTGTGTCTGTGTGTGTGAGTGTCTGTGTGTGTGTGTCTGTGTCTGTGTGTCTGTGTGTGTGTGTCTGTGTGTGTGTGTGTGTCTCTGTGTGTGTGTCTGTGTGTGTGTGTCTGTGTGTGTGACACCTGCTGGGTCTGCCCCGTGACCTCCTGCCAGCGGGCGTTCGACACTTCACGTGGCCTCAAGGTGCACTTGGCCTGGCACAAGCATCGTGGTGACGTCACCGCCACTTAGTGGCGAATGGCGGTTGTTGTTGTTGTTGTTGTGTGAGTGTCAAGTTCGATTCCCGCTCACAGCCATCAACACCATCAGTGACAGCGATTATCTGAATCGGTACTGGGCGTCCCCTAGGTCGACTCAGCCTCAAATATATACCTGGTGCGGTGTGTAGTCAACATCGCTAGCACTGGGGAGACAAAGGCGGCCGGGCGTGGTGCTGGCCACCCACCCCCTCGTGTGCCATTCCGGCCTTCATAGGCACTGCTACTCGCGAACAGCACTTGCCCCTACAGTCTGTTACAGGCTACACGGGGGACCTGTGTCTTTATATGTAGCATATACGTACCGCTGGTGATGATGGTCACGATGGTGGTGACGACGACGATGATGATGACGGTGGTGATGGTGGTGGTGATGATGATGATGGTGGTGATGATGGTGATGGTGGTGATGGTGATGGTGGTGATGATGATGATAATGGTGGTGATGATGGCGATAATGGTGGTGATGATGACGATAATGGTGGTGATAATGGTGGTGATGATGATGATAATGGTGGTGGTGATGGTGATGATGATGGTGGTGATGGTGATGGTGGTGATGATGGTTGTGATGATGATGATAATGGTGGTGATGATGACGATAATGGTGGTGATGATGATGGTGATGATGATGGTGATGATGGCGATAATGGTGGTGATGATGATGATGGTGGTGATGATGGTGGTGATGATGGTGGTGATGATGGTGGTGATGGTGGTGGTGATGATGATAATGGTGGTGATGATGACGATAATGGTGGTGATGGTGATAATGGTGGTGATGGTGATGGTGGTGATGATGACGATGTTGATGCTGGTGATGGTTTTGATGTTTTTCAGGATTTTCTGCTGGAAGATCCCGTGTACCAGCTCAGTGTTGAGGAGACACGGAGACTCTCCACACACAGATACTCGGCCTGCCTGGACCAGACGCCAACACAGTAATCATCACTCGCATTGTCATCGCCATCATCGTCGTCGTCATCGTCACACACACTCACACACACTCACATACTCACATACACACACACTCACACACTCACACACACTCACATACTCACACACTCACACACACTCACATACTCACACACTCACACACACTCACATACTCACACACTCACACACACATACTCACACACACACTCACACACTCACACACACTCACACACAAACACCTACACACACTCACATACTCACATACTCACACACACACCTCACACACTCACACACACTCACACACTCACATACTCACACACTCACACACAGATACTCGGCCTGCCTGGACCAGACGCCAACACAGTAATCATCACTCGCATTCTCATCACCATCATCGTCGTCATCACCGTCATCATCATCGCCATCATTATCATCATCGTCACACACTCACATACTCACACACACACTCACATACTCACACACACACTCACATACTCACACACACTCACACAGTCACTCACACAGTCACTCACATACTCACACACAGATACTCGGCTGCCTGGACCAGACGCCAACACAGTAATCATCACTCCCATTGTCATCGCCATCATCGTCGCCATCATCATCGTCATCATCGTCATCGTCATCGTCACACACACTCACACACCACTCACACACTCACACACAGTCTCACACACTCACACACTCATACTCACACACTCATACTCACATACTCACACACTCACACACACTCACATACTCACATACTCACACACACACTCACACACACTCACATACTCACACACTCACACACTCATACTCACACACTCATACTCACATACTCACACACTCATACTCACACACTCATACTCACACACACTCACACACTCACACTCATACTCACATACTCACACACTCACACACACTCACACACTCATACTCACACACTCATACTCACATACTCACACACTCACACACACTCACATACTCACATACTCACACACACACTCACACACACTCACATACTCACACACTCATACTCACACACTCATACTCACATACTCACACACTCACACTCATACTCACACACTCATACTCACACACACTCACACACTCACACTCATACTCACATACTCACACACTCACACACACTCACACACTCATACTCACACACACTCACACACTCACACACTCATACTCACACACACTCACACACTCACACACTCATACTCACACACTCATACTCACATACTCACACACAGTCACTCACATACTCACACACTCACACACTCATACTCACACAGTCACTCACACACTCACACACTCACACACTCATACTCACACACACTCACACAGTCACTCACATACTCACACACTCACACACTCACACACTCACCCTCATACTCACACACACTCACACATACTCACACATACTCACACACTCACACATACTCACACACACTCACACACTCATACTCACATACTCACACACAGTCTCACACACTCACAAACTCACACACTCATACTCACACAGTCACTCACACACTCACACAGTCACTCACACACTCACACACACAATTACACTCACACACACACACTCACACACTCACATACTCACACAGTCACACACACACACTCACACACACTCACACACACATACACTCACACTCACACACACTCACACACACATACACATACTCACACACTCACACACACTCACACACACACCTCACACACTCACTCACACACACTCACACACACTCACACACACACATCACACACACTCACACACACTCACTCACACACTCACACACAAACACCTACACACACTCACACACAAACACCTACACACACTCACACACACTCACTCACACACTCACACACAAACACCTACACACACTCACACACAAACACCTACACACACTCACACTCACTCACTCACACAAAACACCTACACACACTCACACACTCACACACAAACACCTACACACACTCACTCACACACACTCACTCACACACACACTCACACACACTCACACACAAACACCTACACACACTCCTCACACACACTCACTCACACACACACTCACACACACTCACACACAAACACCTACACACACTCACACTCACTCACTCACTCACACACAAACACCTACACACACTCACTCCCCCCTCTCTCTTGCCCGCAGCTGCATCATCTGCCTGGAGGTGCTTGTGGAGGGAGCAGAGATGTGCACATTGCCCTGCACGCACGCACACTTCCACGCAGCCTGCATCCACACCTGGCTACAGGTAATGACCACCAGCTCGTGCTGGTGCTGATGATGATGTGGTTCTCTCTGTCTCTCTCTGTGTCTCTCTGTCTCTCTGTCTGCCTCTCTCTGTCTCTGTGTGTCTCTCTCTGTCTCTGTGTGTGTGTGTCTGTGTGTGACTGTGTGTGTGTCTGTGTGTGTCTCTCTGTCTCTCTCTGTCTCTCTCTCTGTCTGTGTCTCTGTGTTTGTCTCTGTCTCTCTGTCTGCCTCTCTCTGTCTCTGTGTGTCTCTCTCTGTCTCTGTGTGTGTGTGTCTGTGTGTGTGTGTCTCTGTGTGTCTCTCTCTGTCTCTCTCTGTGTGTGTGTCTGTGTGTGTGACTGTGTGTGTGTGTTTCTGTGTGTGTCTGTGTGTGTGTCTGTCCGGCAAAACAACCTGCACTATGAACCTGGCGACCCGGGTTCGATTCTCGCTCACGGCCAACACCAGTGACGATTATCTGAACCGGTCCTGGGCCTCCAGTAGGTCGACCCAGCCTGACATGAGTACCTGGTGCTGTGTGCAAGCATTGTGCCACTAGGGAGACAAAGGCG